ACAGATACAGTGGAGATGATTCAGATCTACTACACAGATACAGTGGAGATGATTCAGATCTACTACACAGATACAGTGGAGATGATTCAGATCTATCATACAGATACAGTGGAGATGATTCAGATCTACTACACAGATACAGTGGAGATGATTCAGATCTACTACACAGATACAGTGGAGATGATTCAGATCTACCATACAGTGTCTCTTTTAAACAATATCTCCATCAGAAATAAAGAAATATTACATCAGGTCTGCAGTAAGAAGTGTGTCACCATCTACACCAGGAGAATGGCACCACCCTACTCTCAACTGAGTGGTATTGGGCACTCTCAGGAGGACAGGCCTCCATGGTTTACCACCCCAGTGGCTAGGACCTCATAATCCACTAGAAGAATGAGGGTTGAAACTGTGTTGGAGAGTTTGGAGGACCACAGCACAGAAGACAGTGCAAATGGGTGACTATGATACCTTATTTTGAAAAGCAGAGTGATCGTGTCATTGGAATCAATCAACCAACACTTGGCAGCCTCTATATACATCATTTCCACGGTAGGAAGAGCCACAGATCATCAGAGAGGGGCAGTAATCCCTGTCTGCTTTACTCATGTCAGTTTACGAGTGTAGATTCCAGAACAAACATATTTAAGAAGCAACAGACCATGAGGGATACCTATAAGTGGTCCTGCAGAACACCCTATCTCAAGGGAGTGTGTAACATGACTTTGTGATGCGTTATGATATTGTATTTTGATGCATAGAGGACACACTGACGGAGTCGATCAACAAACACATGGCAACATCTAAGATTAATTATCGGGTCTTCGGTAGGAAGAGGTACAATGCCACAGTCATCTAGAATGGTATATGATCACAGGTTGTACAGAGCAAATTTAAGACCAAGTATATTTGGTCAAGCAACACTCGCCACAGAGCAGGATCCAAATATGCAATAAAGGACACTGAAATAAACAAATGAACAGAGTACTTACCATCCACATATAAACTTACAGCCCTGATGACTTCTCCAAGGGAAGATGGAAAATTTGCAGCCAGGGACACGGTAAAGTGATGGATCTGATGGGAAGAAAACATGAAAAGGCAACAATCATTAGGAGAAAGGGAAGAAGATCGGCAGGCAAATTCAACCAGAAAGGATAATGGGAAAAAGAACAAGGAAAAGGTGAGGATTTCACAGAAGAAACAAATGGACTTGGGAACCATGGAAAGGAACAGTATGATGTGCCATATACCATCTAACAGCCCTGACTGGGCAAAGGAGGCAAATGGGATCAGAATTGTCATAAAGATGGGAAAAGGAGAGAAGGGAGAAAAGGTGTGAAGGAAGAAGTACACTCTTCAAGTCTTGGGCATAAAGGAACAATCAGGAAAGAGGAGAACAAAAACATGGTGCATATCAAACAGAAATGCATCAGAACAACAAAGTTTATATGCCAACAACAGAGGAATAGGGACTTCAAGGAAAGGTGATTTAAAGAACACGAAGATGAAATATCCAATGGAGGATGGGGAAAACCATGGAGGACCACATAATGGTGCTAATCCAGAAGGGAAGCAGGTTAGGAAAAATGGAAGGAAAAACAAGGATAAGACTTGCAAATGGAAAACACAATCAAAGTCAGTAAACCAAAAAGTAGCAGATAATGCCACCCATAGCCCACAACAGAGAAAACCGAAAGGTTCCATTCAAAAAGCAAGGCAAAGAGGACAGTTTGTACCACATCTGTAGGTAAACCACCACGGAGGAAGGAAAAAGAAGGAAGCTACACGCAAAAAATCTGGCTATTTAGGCGAGGGACCAGACATAGCCGTGTGTGAAGATGAAGTGCAGGTACAGGTGGATGATGTATGCTGGAGTGTGGCTGATGGAGGATTGTCAGAGATTAAGGAAGAGAAGGGTAGGTGGCACCAAAAACTGGTGCAACAGTGGAAATCAACCAGCACTACATGGAGTAGTCTGAAGTATGGCAAGGACACACGAGAGGAGACGAATAGGAGGATATGCATATAGGTACCAACCTGACCAATGTCGACTGAGAGCATCGACTGCTCCTGCCAGAGGATGAGGAACAGGAGACCAAAATCGGGAAAGTGATGTACAGTAGTCCCTTTTAGATACGACCGACTTATCTGCCTCGATAAAAAAAGTCGTATCTGACAGGAAGCAATTATTCAAAGGATCAATAACCACATAACAAATGACCGAGTTCAAGTTTTGCCAGTTGCTATTGCCAAGGCTTGGGCATAATGGTTTATATACCGTATAGGTAATCAGATGACATAGCAAATTGGTATACTAATAGTTAGATGAATAACAATTCAATAAAGATAACTTGAAATTGTTTTTTGTGTTTTATGTAAAACAATTTATTCATCAATCACATTTATTTCATAAAACATACATGTATCATTTTTATTTCATACACTTTAAATATGATAAATTGACACCAAATTTATTTCATAAAAAGATTGTCCATCTTTATTTGTTTCGCACATTTAACAGGATGACTTTGAATGTTCACAAGTCTGGCAGATATGATATTGAGAAGCATTTTGTTGTTCATTCTGAGCACACGAAAGTGAGGTGAGGTGTTTATGTTTTAGCTTTTCTTAAGGCATTGTGAGACAAAGTCTATCTTTGTACAAAAATGCAATTTATTCTTTGATATGTGTCATATCTATATAACAAGCCGCAGATTACCTACTCACCAGGAGAATTACTTACCGACATCATACATCATCTCACATCTTGAGAAAATTCTGATTGCTGATTGACTGGTGAGGGTTTCCCACCTTGCGACATGGCTTCAATTTCATGGCCAACTGTGCAATACTTGACAAAACATTCACGTGTCAACTGGTGTAATCAAGCCCTAACTGCTGTTGAAATGATTAATTTTTTCAAACCACATTGAATAATCAAGGTAGAATTAATTTTCCTTCAGATTATAGTACATACATGTACATGTAAAATCAAATAAATGAACACGCAACATGAATACATATACTGTATATGTACATGTATAAAGTATGGAGCATAGAAATCACATGAACGAAGATTGCTTCACACCCAAGTACAGCGTACGTGTACAGGTACCTTCGTACCCCAGGGTGTTGGTTTAGGGTAGAACTGTTTTGTTCAATTAAAATAGCTTCCTTTATTCTGTGTTTATTGATGTTTGATTCTTTGCTTAAAATTAGTGTTTTGTATAGATATACTGTTTTTTTTCAGTTGCAATGATGATAAACATGGAAGGTTTTTTTTTTTTATTACATTCAGTGAATGTGGTTTCCACTTTTCTTCAATTTTCTCTGATGTACAATTCTGTACAGTTATTGCAGGTTATTTTATAAAAATTGTTGGTATTGTGTGATTCTATATAATTTTTATTTAATAATGATTTTAGTATCCATTAGAAGTCATTCTGTAAAGGAGGGGGAAGGGTAAGAGGGGCATCTGAGGGATACCAAACAAGGCTCCATTGGTCTATCAAAACCCACTGACAATGATGCATGAGATGCGACCAAAAGGACTGAGGATTGCGAGAGAAGCCCATGTCCCCAAAAGAGAAAGAACCACTCATCCAGTAGGAGAGGATAAGATGCTGCATACAAGACATTGCATAGCTTGCAACTTAAGTGGAGCAGGCAAGAAGCAGCCATACATTCAAAGAATGGTGGAAATGAAGGCCCTTGGAATGAATCAGGTGGGCAAAAAAAATGGGATCCCAAGGAGTAGAGAAGGAAACAGGATTGCAAGACAACAGGGGAGAGGAAGGGAAGTAGAGGACCACACATACTGAAACAACTTCCAGAACCCATGAATCAACTGTTAAGAACCTCCAAACATGGGCAACTTGAAGGAGTTTGGTCCCCACCAGCCCTGACCCGAGAAGGGTGGTCAGAATAAGATAAGCACAGCAGAAGGTAAATGAATTATAGGGGGCTAATCCATACTAAGGGAAAATAAACAACAATGCTGAAAGTCCAAATAAGAAAGCTGAAACAATGATAATCAAAAGAATGATCATCCACAGAATGTGGGAGTCGAGGCATACCAACTCTTGAACTAGGGAAGGAGGAAACACTATAATAATGACCAAAAGGCTAGTCCCCGAGAAGATCAGAGGTGGAACATATGAAACAGAAGATAAGGACAGAACATAACACACCTGAGTAATCAAATCCACCAAAGGAGAAAGAGGTCTGGATAATTCTCCCAAAATGACACGTGACTGAAAGGCATATTCAGGATGGAGAAAAAAGCTGTCCAAATCCAAAACTTCCTAATCACTAAAAACCGCTATAGGACAATCATCAGTTTGTTGCATGAAATGGGTCAATTCCTGATGGACCAGAGCAGTCACTTCATGAGCCCGAGAATCGTGGTTCTGATCTATTGGATGTGGTTGGAAATTTCTTGCTGCAGCAGTCGTAGTCATGACCACCTGAAACTGCAAGTGCATAACTCACAAAATTGAAAGAGGAGAGAAGCTAAATAAAATAATTTGTAACTCTTCACAAAAGAGAAGATAAATGGTAAAGAACAATGTAGTTAAAGTATAAAAACTGATAAGTGAATTAAACTGTAAGTGAAAACAAGCCTATTCAATGATACTGCCAATAAAAAGTGATTAACAGCTGCAAGATCAGAGAGGGTTCGAGTTACGATAGGGGTAGTATTGCACTCCTATTGGTGGAAGGTTGCTGCATAATCATTTGCATGTTAGTATGTAGAAATAAGAGGAAGTATCAAGGTTATTTGCGAGCAAAAATTTGCACCAATAGAGGGCAGTATAAATCGAGAATGCTTTTTTGTGTGTGGAAGTAAAATATTGTATCCGAAGGTATTGTGTTGGAGGGTTTATAATTCTCAATGTTTACATTGTTTTAAAATTTCAAAAACCAGTTTTGAATACAGTTTTATAACTTACTAGCATTAATTATGAGACAGTCATATGTATTAGCTAACAACTCACCTTTTCAACAATTTCTTTCAAGGACATAGCAGAATGTTCATCAATATGGAATGCAGCACTTTTGCAAAAGGTTGCTAATCCAGTTAAATCATTCTTTGGTGAATTTGTAACACCAACATATCCTGAGTCTTTCATTTTAGGTTCCAAAATATCTGTGAAGTAAGGAAGACTGATATGCTGAAAGCAGACAAGATCAGGGTTAATTATTTCTAATTCTGTAAACAGTTGGTCATGGCGAGGTTCAGCAGTTTTCAAACTACAAGATACTATACTGAATGTTCTATTACTAAGAGCAGCTCTAAGTTCAGAAGTTAATGCAGAATTGAACAGATACTGTCGTCCAGGAAATCTCAAGGCATGTTGCTTCTCTATCTCAACTAAACCAGCATTGTGAACTCCATTTGTAGCATTGTTTGTAACAATATCTACTTTTGAATGTTCAGTTTGAGTGTTTGAAATAACATCCATTTTTGGCTGCTCTGATGGAGTACTGGAAATAACACTAACTTCAGAATCATCAGTAAGAGAGTTCGAAACAACATCAGTAGGAGCATTTAAAACATTATTTACTTTTGAATGATCTGCTAATGTGTCTGAAACAAGATCTACTTTTGAATGATCATCAAGAGTATCTATACATGGTGCTTCTTCAAGAGAGTTTAAAACATCTATTTTTGAATGATTAGCAAAAGTTTCCAAAACAGCATGTACTTTTGTAGTTTCTGCAGGTATGTTTGAATCACTATTTACAGTTGGATGATCTGCAGAAACATTTGAAAAAGCATCTTTTTCTGAAGATTCTACCATATTGTCTTTTATAAAATCATCTTTAGAATGATCTGTAGAGGTGATTGAAACAGTATATACTTTTGAAGGTTCCACAAGGGTACATGTGGTAACAACTTCTGCATGTTCAGTAACTGATGAAGTGACAGTGGCTAATGATGATGATGGTTGAACTGATTGGGCATTATCAACTGGTCCAGTTTTCTCACCTATGGGAAATTTAGCCTGGTCAGGAATTTCTGAACATTTAACACCTTCACCTGGTTGAGTAGATTTACAAGATAAAGGGTCAGAAGTTGGTGTTAACTGATGTTCAGCTTCATGATGAGGTGATTTAGGGACGGCTATATTTTCTGTCAGATCTGACTCATTACTAATTACCACACATGAAGGATTTTTATCCTTCTCAAACTGAGATACAGTTTCAATATCAGCTAGCAGTATCTTTGATGAATTCATGTTCTTAGAACTTTTGCATAGACTTTCAAATACCGTGTTTGAATGCTGAATTTCACATTTATCATCTTTCTCTTCCAAAGTAGAAGAAAAAGCTACAATAGAAGAAACTTTTTTTTTTTCAACAATGCAATCTCCTTGCTCGGCATAAATACTGCTCGTATAAACATTTGCAGGTAAATAAAGTTCCTTATTTTTTTCCTCTTGAACATTTACGGATTCACCAACACATGAAGTACCTAGGTTCTTACTTGATTGTTCACTGCTTTGTTGAATGACTGACACTCTACTGTCACCTCTCTCTATCCGTAAAGAAACTTCTGAAGTATCTTCTGGAAGTGGTGTAGGAATCTTACTTAAAGACTCCTGTTTTTCTGAAAGCCCAGCTGAAGATTCCTGGTTTTCTTTCAATACTTTATCGCTCTGCCGAACTTCTTTGGTATTCCAACCTGTATCTAAATTGTTCACATCAGAATTGCTTAAAAGTGGCTTTTCTAAATGGTACTTTTCAACTTCAGAAGACTTCTTTGTTTCTGACACACTACTGCGTTCTGTGACTGTCTCAGTCTTTTGAAGCAAAGACTGGCTTTCAATGGAAAATTCCTTTGTTTTGTTTTCCTGTTTAGGCTCAACAGGCACTTCACTGAGCATATCTCCTTTTTCTTCATCAACTTCCATAGGTTCTTCTTCTTCTTTTAAAAAAGTCTCAGGAGTGTTGAAGGTTTCTAAATTTTCTGAAGTTTTTTCAACACACAAGTTATCCTTCTCACTAATATTCATTTCAACTTCTTTGTTTTCCATGATTTCTACCTTCTCTTCACATTCCTGTGATATTTCACTAACTGAAACTTTTTCTGTAATGATGTTTCTTTCAACTGCAGATTCATCTTCTGCCTCATCAGCCTTCCTACTTCTTTTCTCTGGATGTTCAGTAAATCCATTTTCAAAATTCTGAACTTCACGCTTACGTTTTAAATCTGAAGATTTATCTTTATTCACATCCAAAACATTCCCTTCATTCTTCTTTGTAGATGGTTCGTATGAGATATCCTTGCTTTCACTGACAGTCTCCACAGTTGATTTTGTGGGTGAAAAAACCCCTTGCATAGTAGCTCTTGTGCTATTATCTTTTACTGGAGATGCATATTCATCATCCATTTTACTTTCTGGAGTTAAATCTTTATTTATTTCCTCTTCCATTTCATCATCATCCATTTTACTATCTGGTTTACACTCGTTAATTGCCTTTTCACCACCATCCACTTCAGAGTCTGGTTTACACTCGTTAATTGCCTTTTCACCACCATCCACTTCAGAGTCTGGTTTACCCTCGTTAATTGCCTTTTCACCACCATCCACTTCAGTGGCTGGTTTACACTCATTAATTGCCTTTTCACCATCCACTTCAGTGGCTGGTTTACACTCATTAATTGCCTTTTCACCACCATCCACTTCAGAGTCTGGTTTACACTCGTTAATTGCCTTTTCATCACCATCTATTTCAGTGGCTGGTTTACACTCGTTAATTGCCTTTTCATCACCATCCATTTCAGTGGCTGGTTTACACTCGTTAATTGCCTTTTCACCACCATCCACTTCAGAGTCTGGTTTACACTCGTTAATTGCCTTTTCATCACCATCTATTTCAGTGGCTGGTTTACACTCTTTATTTGCCCCTTCTTTATCACCACCATCCATTTCAGAGACTGGTTTACACTCTTTAATTACATCTTCACCACTATCCATTTCACAGTCTAGTTTACACTCTTTATTTGCCCCTTCTTTATCACCACCATCCATTTCAGAGATGGGTTTACACTCTTTATTTGCCTTTTCTTTGTTTCCCCTTTCTTTATCATCACCATTCATTTCAGTAGCTGGTTTACACTCTTTGTTTGCAGTTTCTTCATCACCACCATCCATTTCAGTGGCTGGTTTACACTTTTTATTTGCCTTTTTTTCTTTATTTTCCTCTTCTTTATCATCCTCATCTATTTCAGTGGCTGGTTTACACTTTTTATTTGCCTTTTCTTTATTCTCCCCTTTTTTATCACCACTATCCATTTCACAATCTGTTTTATACTTTTTATTTGCCTTTTCTTTCTTTCCCATTTCTTCATCACTTTGTGAGACTGAGTTATCTTTCAAAACTGAATCTTCTTCTGGTTCTTGAGAGTTCTTTTGGGCTCTTCTTTTGGAATGTTGTACACTTTGATTATCACCACTATTTCTTTTTTGTTTTCTCGGAGATTTAGAAATAGCTCGTTTATTTCCCGATCTTGTTAATTTTTCTTCTATGTCAGATTCATTGTAATCTTTATCATCATTTTCTTTTTTCACTGTTGAAGTATCTTCTTCTCCCTCGCTTTCTTCTTGGTAGTTAACTCTGTTTTTATTTCGGCGTCCTGACCTTACTCTAGAAGCAGGAGACTCTACTTCAGACTTAGGTGTTGATATAGGACTTCCTTTATGACTTGTTTGACTCCGGCTACGTGTGACACGTGCATGTGCTTCAGAAGCAGCTGTTTGTGCAGCTGTAGAACTACGCCGTGACCTTCTACCTTCAGCAATGGGTTCAGAACCAGGTGATACTTGAGAACGAGTTGAAGATCTGGAAGATCTTCTTGGAGATTTTTCCTGTACAAGAAAAATATAACATGATCTATAACTCAATATATTATTGATATTTGTAAAAATGATGCTTAAGTTTTTTATAAAACACCGGACAAAATATAAGTTAGGATAGCTGTAAATAAAACATAAAATTAACTGAGAATGGTTTAATCCCTTCACATTTCATAATTTGGTTATTATCATGAGATTATTTCAACTTGTTTTTTAGGATCTTTTGATTTGTTTCTGCCTCGTATACTAGGACTTGCTCCAAAAATAAAGCAGCTAAAAAAGTAAGTAATGAGAAAGCCTTTAGAACAAAATGGTGATCCCAATCAGAAAAAGAAATAAAAACAAATAATGTCTTAGGAATCTTCTATGGACACAAACTACCCGGTTTTTCTTTTCATGATACTTCCAAAAGTCTTCATACTAAAGCCTTCACTACCTAAACCTACATTAAAAGAAAATCTAAAATGCTGTTATGGACCAACTGTAACCCAAACAGCAAAGGCCCAAAGAAGGCCTCAGTAGAAAGGCCAATACATCACAAAAAAAATGTCAGGTAATTTCCTATGTACAGAAAATTTCTTAGATGCCCAAAACACTATCTAAAACTGCATTAAAGGCAGCTGATATCTATAAAAGAAAATAACGTATTAATAAACATCATAGTAATCAAGAGGAGGAACATGCACAATATGAAAAAACAGTTGAGAAAATCACTGTATAATTGGTAAAATATTGAAGTTATCAAGAAAAGTATGCTTAACTAGTAGCAAAACAAGCTCTTCCTGGACCAAACAAAGAAGAATCAGAAATCAAGAATTAGCCACATAAAAAAGGTCATAAGAAGGACCAGACAGTAACTTGGGAGAAAAAGACACTGATAAAACTAAGGCTGGATCAGACCAGTCACACCTAAAGCTATGAGATCTAGAAGAAGAGACAAAAATAAAGGAAGTTTCTTGTTAAGTAATGAAACAAACATATCATCATGGGATAGCTGTTCAAAATCATTAAAAAGGAAGAGGACAAAGAGATTATTCCTATGAAGAATATGATTTGAGTAGATGAATGATCTACCACCACATTTAAAATACTCAATGTTGTTCTTGTACCTGTAACAAGTTTTCCACAGCCAAAATCAAATAGAATACTAGAATAAAGAACTAAAGACTTGACACTAAGTACTGTTCTGGTAATTGCTGTAGTAAACCAGAATAATTATCTGAGTGGGGAAAGATTGTGAGACTTATAAAGAGAAAAGTTCTGAAAAAGGCAAACAACTCTAGAATACTGATATGCAAGTATTATTCTTCGAAATACGAAGTACCAAACACCTGACATGAATTAAGTACAGCACCCTCTCATTGTAAGAAAGAAACATTAAAAGATGGATATCTACAGTAGAAAGAATCGGTAGTTTTGGCATGGTTAAACCACCAGAACAGGGAGAATGGAACATTCTATGGAAAAATATGGGAGAAGAGATTTTATGAGACATCTTAAATGATTTTCATGTGACCACAAAACTATGGAGGGTAGTCACGACCAAGAGAGAGCCTCCAGGGAGGCCAACATTACCAGAGAGATTTAACCTCATGAACTGTTAGAAAAGAAAACTAAACTGATTGTGAAAATGTCTGTGAAACAAAAAAAAATTAATTAAAATGCAACAAAGTTAGAAGTCAGGAAAACATTAAATAAAATTTAAAATATTTTATAGCATTAAAGAAAGCAAAAGAAATTAAATAGGCCCAAAACTGCCATAATAGAAAAAAAATGCATTTTTTGTAAAATGATTAAATGTAATAAGAACAAAGAAAAAGAACTACAAATTATGCTGTCAAGGATGGAAACTAAGCTAATAATTTGTAGGATACATCAGCAAGACAGAAAAAGACAATGCATAAAAGAATGGACACAACTCTGACTTAATACCTACAGTCTTGATGCCAGATTTATAATAAACCAATGAATAAAAAATAATCTAACTCTGTAAGCTAAAAGAACAATAAAGATTACTTAAAAGCAACTAAAAACTGGTACACTTGCATTTCGTTTGTACATATATGAACCAAAACTCTAGAGTTCTTTCAACATTATAAGATAGAAAGTTAACCATAGTTAATGACAATACCTTTCTCTTACCTAAATCATTTCTGTACAAGTATGCTGTAGCTACAAAGAGTACAAACACTAAGCACTTAGTCAAAGACTATACACGGCTCAATAATCATATATAAACCCTACTGGATTGACTGTTATAAAAAAGTTAAGCATCCAGCCAAGTCCTGTACAGAGTTTATTGAATATGTCTGTTATACTGGATTGAAGGTGGTAAAAATAGATGGCAATTTTAATCCCTAAAAGTATCTACCCTTTACATTCTGCAGCAAGAATGCAGGTTATACTGTAAACAATGTTAAAAAGACACTTGTGCTGTAAAAAGTAGCACATCACAAAAACCATGTTACCACAACTACATGATATATACAATGACATAGCAAATTTAAAAATACTGAAGAAAGAGACCAGAAAAAAGTTAAACTTTCATATTTATTTTGAATGTTATGATGTAAAGAATATATTACATTTCTATGTCACTGATGTAAAGTTCAGATGTAAAGAATATATTACATTACTATGTCACTGATGTAAAGTTCACAAGTAAACATAGAAATGTAATATATTCTCACTGATGTAAAGTTCACAAGTAAAGAATATATTACATTTATATGTTACTGATGTAAAGTTCACAAGTAAAGAATATATTACATTTCTATGTCACTGATGTAAAGTTCACAAGTAAAGAATATATTACATTTCTATGTCACTGATGTAAAGTTCACAAATAAAGAATATATTACATTTTTATGTCACTGATGTAAAGTTCACAAGTAAAGAATAGATTACATTTCTATATATCCTTTCTTCTTTTCACTGATGTTACACAATTTGATGAATAATAAGAAAAAAATCACAAACAAATTATTTATTATTAAACAAAAGAAGCAAATACCGTATTTTATGGCATATGAGATGCACTTTTTTCCTGAAAAAAGCCTCTAATAATCATCCAGCATCTAATACATGAAGTTAAAGAATGTGCATATCTCAGTTTTACCCCTGTAAGTTAAATTTTACCTAATCTTGTAAAATTTAACCTATACAAAAGTGTATGATTAGGCTTATAATCAATGAGAAAAATTTGCTAAACATACGAGTGGATTTATAATAGATAATAATAATCCAATACAATTAGTGTTGGTATAGCTGAGCATTTCACCTGGTTTTCCAGTGCTAAACAGTTAGCATTTTTGAATTCTCATGGACATTTCTCTCGACTACAGTTACTATTTGCAACATACAACAGTTCTTAAACTGCTCACATGGAAAGACACCCTGGCCTTTCTCCTTACTGCCATGTCAGGCCAGTACAGTACAGTTGTAGTATTATGTTTATCTGTCTTCTAGTAAAACTACAAAGATGCCATAGTATTCTGTTTATCTGTCTTCGGTAGAACTACAAAACTGTTGTAGTATTCTATTTATCAGTCTTCTAGTAGAATTACAAAGATGTAGTATTCTGTTTATCTGTCTTTGGTAGAACTACAAAACTGTTGTAGTATTCTGTTTATCAGTCTTCTAGTAGAACTACAAAACTGTTGTAGTATTCTGTTTATCTGTCTTCGGTAGAACTACAAAACTGTTGTAGTATTCTGTTTATCAGTCTTCTAGTAGAACTACAAAGATGCCATAGTATTCCGTTTATCTGTCTTCGGTAGAACGACAAAACTGTTGTAGTATTCTATTTATCAGTCTTCTAGTAGAACTACAAAGATGTAGTATTCTGTTTATCAGTCTTCTAGTAGAACTACAAAACTGTTGTAGTATTCTGTTTATCAGTCTTCAGTAGAACTACATAACTGTTGTAGTATTCTGTTTATCAGTCTTCGGTAGAACTACAAAACTGTTGTAGTATTCTATTTATCAGTCTTCTAGTAGAACTACAAAGATGTAGTATTCTGTTTATCAGTTTTCTAGAACTACAAAGATGCCATAGTATTCTGTTTATCTGTCTTCAGTAGAACTACAAAACTGTTGTAGTATTCTGTTTATCTGTCTTCAGTAGAACTACAAAACTGTTGTAGTATTCTGTTTATCAGTCTTCTAGTAGAACTACAAAACTGTTGTAGTATTCTGTTTATCAGTCTTCTAGTAGAACTACAAAGATGCCATAGTATTCTTTTTATCTGTCTTTGGTAGAACTACAAAACTGTTGTAGTATTCTGTTTATCAGTCTTCTAGTAGAACTACAAAGATGTCATAGTATTCTGTTTATCTGTCTTTGGTAGAACTACAAAACTGTTGTAGTATTCTGTTTATCAGTCTTCTAGTAGAACTACAAAGTACAGTACAATACTACTACTCTCTGGGGACCCGGATATCCACAACGAACACCAACAGAAGTATGCTTGTCATTTGAAAAATAATCTATTACTTACATCTCCTTACCCTGAAGAGACTAAGGGTGAATTTTGCCTTTTCTATCAATTATAAAAATCCCTTAAAGTTTTTTCTTGTTTTGCAAATTTGATTTAATATGTAGCCATGTATGATATTTTCAGTGAAAAAGTTTTTCTTGATATATATATATATTTCCTGTTTTATGTTTGATGTTATTTGAAGTAAAAATTAAATACTTTGATACCCTCAAATGTTTTTTTCCCAAATATTCTTTGCTAAAATATGAGTGCATCTTATATGCCTGTGTGTCTTAAATCTTGTAAAATATGGTAACAGCTTTCTTCTGGTGAACTTAATATTACAAAGTTAACACAATACCTTAGAAGTTTAAACAAATCATATATGTAGTATTTTCCTTACCTGTTGTAATTCAGTGGCAACTTCAGGAGTCTTTGAAGAACTTCTCTCTACCGTGGCTTTTGGACTCTGGGATTTTTTTCCTCGACCACGTGGCATCTTTACTCATTACAAATTTTCCATCACATGAAATACCTAAAAACACACGTAATAACATTTAGATAACGGTGCTTATAAAATTATGTTAAAATAACTCACTCATCTAATTATCCTTCACAAGTTGGAAATTATGCAAAATAAGATAAACACGTATTTTTAAAGTTCATTTTATTTCCAAATTTTAACCCCATTTACTTTGCCTACTCTAAAATAAAACAATCCAAAATACCTTATTTCTTGTACTAATACTTCTTCAACATTTGTATAAAAACATAGCCTTCTGCTACAGACCTGAAACCTAAGTTAAACATAATATTACAGACAAGGCATTTAAATGTTTATCCCTACACCTTATGTGTAACCACTCATTATACTGGGAAATCAACAAATGAAAATTCCATGTATTAACCAGCAGCACAAAGTATTACATAACTCATTACAAAATAAGCAACAATTACATGATCCATGTAGATGGGTTGTATGGAAAGGATCTTTGTTTGTACATGGAACCTCCAACAAAACTTATATCAACCTGAGTGGTAGATGTTTAAAAAAGTATTACATAACTCATTACAAAATAAGCAACAATTACATGATCCATGTAGATCAGTTGTGTAGAAAGGATCTTTGTTTGTACATGGAACCTCCAACAAAATTTATATCAACCTGAGTGGTAGATGTTTAAAAAAGTATTACATAACTCATTAGAAAATATGCAACAATTACATGATCCATGTAGATGGGTTGTGTAGAAAGGATCTTTGTTTGCACATGGAACCTCCAACAAAACTTATATCAACCTGAGTGGTAGATATTTAAAAATACAAAATTGTAGCAATTTGTCGTTGTTGTTTGGTGCTTTATGGCGCAAAGCTGCGAGGCTATCTGCGCCAAACAACCGGTAAAAACGATGAAAATAAATTAAAGTAAAATGTAAAAATACAGTGAGTTAAAACCAATACATGTCGATAAAAGATTTATATATAATTAAAAAGTGTGTAAAAAATTAAAAATACAATCTAATCGGACTCTGTCCAGCGTCAGGGGTAAACTTTTAGATAAAATG